CTCCCCTCTCTCTCTCTCTCTCTCTCACACCGCGCGTCCCCCCGGCGGTGCGAGTTCGTTCGAAGGCACAGACACACGGCCTTATTCGCGCCCAAATTTCATTAGCGGAGAAAATGGTATTTACTTTTCCATTCCACTTGGAGAGCACACCGCGCGCATTGTGGTGGCGCAACGGCAGCAGGGGAAGGGAGGGAGTGAGAGAGAGAGAGAGAGAGAGAGAGAGAGAGAGAGAGAGAGAAGAGAGGGGAGAGAGAGAGAGAGAGAGAGAGAGAGAGAGAGAGAGGTCGTTGCGGCGGATTACTCGGTGCAGTGCTGGCTGTGCCGTGATCATTCAGGTTCAAGGCGCGCTGCGCGCCGAAAGGCACGGTCCATTACATTAGAGCGCTCGCCGCAAGGCGGGGCGGGGCGGGGCGGGGCGGGGCGGGGCGGGGCGGGGTGCGGCTCAGCGCGCCGAGGTGACGCCTCAGCAGCGCCAAAGGGTGCGCTTCGCCCCGGGAGGGCTCCGGGACAGCCCCGGGGAGAGTCCGGGGAGAGTCTTGGGAGAGCACCAGTTCGGGAAGAGGCCCCAGAGACCCTGGAAAGAGTTGGGAGAGAGTCTGGAGGGACCCGCGGGAGACGCAGGCTGACCCAAGAGAGACCCTGGCATGGGAGAGGCTCGGGAGAGACCCGGGAGACCGGGAGGTCCCCGAGTGAGCGACGCCCGTCTCGATTTAATCCCCGGGAAGAGCCGCGAGCACGGGCAGGGAAAAGATAAAGCAATAAGACGCGAAAGGACAGGACGGACGGAATCATCCCAACATGACCCTCCGTGCGGGTGTTTGCAGCGGCAAGAAACTACGCAGCGCGAACAAAGAGATTCAGGCCAAATTACCAAACTTGCGCTTTGTGAGTTACTTTCTAGCCCGTCACACTGTCATGGTAGTTGAGTCAGATTAAAATTTTGAAATCCCGGACAGGATTTGAGCTTCAGAGTCGCTAAACAGGACTCGAACCGAACGTGTGACCCCACCAATGGATTCCTCGTTCGGAGAGCAATCCATTGGTGGGGTCACACGTTCGGTTCGAGTCCCATTTAGCGACTCTGGAGCTCAAAGCGCGTCTAGAATTTTGGCCGCCTCCTCCGGTCTTCTGGTCCACTGTGCGCCCTAGCGCAACGCGTCCTGGAGCCCGGAGGATCGCCCTTTCTTGCGAGATAACAAGGCTCCTGGAATGAGCCGGAAGTAGGGGCGAGTTTACCGGAGCCGTGGCAGTGCCGTGCCATTGCCGTGCCGCCGCCTCGCCCCGCCCCGAGTCGAGACAGAGTCACACCTAACAACCGCTCCGAGCACGTCACCCGGACCATTCCCTGGGGGCTCAATTATGGTGTTTGTCCAGGCAAAGACTGGGGGAAACCCGCAGTCAAGGGTTCAAACACCAGCGTCGCCCCTTTTTTCCGGCTTCTTTTTCTTGTTTGGACGGCTTTTTGTTGGAAACTCACCTCCCGCCGACCAGCAGCGAGTTGCCGTCCCGCACGGCGAGGCGGAAGTAGTCGACGTGGGACTCGTTGCCGCCGAACCGGAACACGTCCTCGGCCCCTGCAACACGTCGGAAACACGTCAGAAACACTTCAGAAACACGTCAGTGACACGTCAGAAACACGTCACAAACAGGTCAGAACCACCTCAGTGACACCTCAGAAACACCTCAATGACGCCTCAGAAACACATCAATGACACCTCAGAGACACCTCAATGAAACCACAGTGACACTTCTGAAACACCTCAGAAACACCACAGTGACACCTCAGAAACGTCAGAAAACCGCCGGAAACGCTTCAGGGGAACGTCAGAAACACCGCAGTGACGGCAGTGACGCGTCAGAAACATGTCACTGAATCGTCACCAACATTTCAAGGCGCTGCCACACCCACACCGGACAATGAAACAGGCGGCACCGGACCGGAAATTGTGCCCCGCCATTGCCGAGTCATGGCGAGGATGCATATTTCACGCGGGGTCCATCCCAGTGTACCTTCGCACTCCACCGCAAAGGGCTTCGGCTGCATTTGCAATGCCCTCGGCAACGCCGTCCCCGCCCTTCTCACTTTCTGCTCAAGTTGATTTTCTTACTTTTGCGGTTTTCGCTTGAGAAGTCGCCGACGAAAACTGAGAGTCTTCCATCCGATTTGACGGAACTGCCGCAGGGATTTCCCAGGCAGTGTACTTAAAGCCCTGCGGTGCCCGGGGAGCATGTCCGACCAGGCCTCTAACGAGTCTTCATTATTTCTGCAGGCGGCCTTTCCGCTGGGGGCGCTAGTGGACAATACTTCGCGGAACGGCGGGCCGTGAATTTAAAAGACCACACTAGCATTAGGAGGGCGGCCAGCCAGCGGCAGCGCTCCAAGCGGCGTCTCGAGGCACTAGCGACGGTCGAATGGGGCACCGCCCGCCGGGCACCGCTCCCAAATATACTCCCGCCATGACGACCCTCGCCTTCTTCAGGATGGCCGTCACAGAGACGCCAGACGTTTTAACAGAATGACAGTCATACTGTGCCAGGGACGGAGGGAGAGGGTACAAGGCAGAGTCAAAGGATTGCCAGTAAGGAGGTTGCGGCTAGCGGGGAAGGACCGCAATCACTCACGAGGCAACCAAGTATTTCGAGCACATGCGGGCGATTGCTTCGTGAATGACGAGGTACGTAAGCTCATGTCCTCAGGGTAAAAACAGTACCTGGATTCCCCAGGATGACTTGGGTAAAGACATAGGCGATTTCCAGGGGCTTCCTGGGGAAACCAGGTACCGTTTTCACCGTACTAAAAGTAGTTTGTAAAACCGTAAAAATTCCTTGGTTAGGTCCAAAGTAGTTTTCTGTAAGGTTCTGAGAGTGCTCTGGTCGAAGTAAAATAAGTTGAAAGCACTGAAGTTCTCACCAAGTGCTTGGGAAGATGATCTCAACTCAACTCCCGACTGCTCGCACGGTGAGGGCCTCAACGCGACTAGTTTGAGGGAGGTAGCGCGCCAAACTCGGACCGAGCACCCACAGCACCCACGTCCAAGTCACACAGGCCCAGCCCAGCCAGTCCCCAAACAAAATACAGAGGCGGCCACAAAGGATGGCGCTACGCTGGCTGCGCCACGCGGCGGCAGGACTTTGGAGGACAAAACGGTTTACAGCCAGCCTAACTCGTGAGCACTCTACAGCCGTCGGGGGAGCCAGGCAGGCAGCCCCGGGCAAGGCCCCCGGCACGCAGCGGTGGCACCGCAGGGGCGGCAGGCCCAGGTGTGTGGGGCTGAGGAGAGAGAGAGAGAGAGAGAGAGAGAGAGAGAGAGAGAGAGAGAGAGAGAGAGAGAGAGAGAGAGAGAGAGAGAGAGAGGAGAGGAGAGAGGAGAGAGAGAGAGAGAGGAGAGGCAATCGCGCGACGAATCCCGAACATCGCCGTCATCAGCACGATAACGCGGCGGCCATTCTGTAGAAAAAGAGAGAAAGGAGAGGTGGCGAGGAGCCCCGCGGCGCCCCGCGGCCAAAATGTGGCCGCGTTTCGGGGACTCGAACCACTAGCTGAGCCAATAAGCCGGATGGGATGGGATGCGGACCACGCTGACGTCATCATGGCGTCATGCAGTCACCGCGTCACGGCAAAGGAAACACGTTTCGACAATTCCGTTGGCCTCACGCCCTTGTGTGTCTTTTTCTGAAACACTCCGCAATTTTTAGAAGCGGGGATGTTTTTCCTCGCAGAGCATCACACATGTAGCCTTGGTCAGGCTGGGCGAAATGAACAGCAAGGCTGGCTCTCTTTGTCGTGTCCAGATTCAGTGCGGGGCTGACAGGCACAGCGAGGGACGTCTATCCATTTGGAGGGGCGACCGGCGGCCGGGGGACACGCCTAGCATACCCATGGTGGGGGCCGGGCGGGTACACGCAGGATGCTCACAATAGAAGAAGAAAAAGAAAGGAGATGAAGGAAGAGACAAGGGAGTGAATAACGAGATGAGAAAGGGCGGGGCGGCTCGGCGGGGGGGACAGCCTATACGGCGGGGAGAAAAATTAGATTAAAAACGCCAGACAGTTCATTTCTCTCTGTCGGCCGGCAAATCTTGCAGCACCAGCCTCACCGTGGACTCCTCTAGACACTCCGCGGTCCAGTGCATGCATGCCTAGCCACTACTGGCGAGGACGTGGACTGATGGAGGCATTGCGGACGTCCCGGGAGACGCGTCCTAGCGGAATCAACGCGTTGTCCTTGGAGAAGGATGACGCGGACTGTAGTTTGCGTCCCGACAGCTGCCGCTGCCACAGGCCTGCCTAATGGACCACACTGCATACCTTTTAAACCTCACCACTTGTTGCAGCCGAACGACAGCCAAGACAAGGCCGCACCGCGCTGTCAGGTTGTCCGCGCGGTACCAATCAGACCGCTGAAAAGAGACCGGCGCAACAAAGCAATCTCATTTGACGGGCGCGCGATCGGGCCGCTGCTGCTGCAGGCTCCCAGTTTGCAGTGGGGTGGGGCCGGTCGGCTTTGGCTTGGCGCCTTACATAAATCTGGGCACGGCGGCGCGTAGATCCAGGGCAACGAATTTACGCCCGCGGCATCAGTCCTCGTTTTGCAAATGCGGCGCCGAATCACTCGGCGTTTTTCTCGGCGTGCCATGGTAACCTTGAGTGGTGGCGCACGGTGGGCCAGAAGGCCAGCGGACGCGGTCAAAATCCCGGACGCGTTTTCAGCTCCAGAGTCGCTAAATGGGACTCGAATAGAACGTGTGACCCCACCAATGGGTTACTCTCCGAACGAGGAATCCATTGGTGGGATCACACGTTCGATTCGAGTCCCATTTGGCGACTCTGGAGCTCGAAACGCGTCTAGAGTTTTGGCCACCTCCTGTTTGTTGTAGTTGCTTACTCGAACGCTAAAGGTCTGCTGAGGCCTAACAGCGCCGATGACGATGACCGGTCTTCTGGCCCACTGTAGCGCCTCTGAGGGCCACAGGCCGAAGGGACACGCTGCGCCTCGCAAGGGCCGAGCAAGGGCATTCTCGCCAGTGTGTCCACACTGCTGCTGACCCAGCGGTACCCTTCGGTCACCTTCAAGCCGTCCCGCAGAGGCCTGTTTGCCCCCGTTCGCAGCTCTAATCCTCAAACGGGACTCACACTGCCAGCCGGTTCAAAAGGGCGTTGGTACGAGTTCGCTCTCTTCGTCTTCAAACCTGCCCTGTTTAGCGACTCTCGAGCTCAAACGCGTCTAGAGTTTTGGCCGCCTCCACTGGTCTTCTGGCAAGTCCACTGCGGGTCGCCTTGGCATGGCAGAGGTGTGCTGCTGCTCCATTTACCGGGTAATATGATCGGCGGGTAATGAGGTTTTGATGAGGGATTGCGGGCTTGCGGTGTGGCAGACGAGCCGAGCAATCAACCCCCACCCTGTCCGTGGCTGTGGCTACACCGTGCGAACTGGCGGCGCACAGTGGGCCAGCAGACCGGCGCAGGCGGCCAAAACTCTAGGCGCGTTTTGAGCTGCAGAGTTGCTGAAAAGGACTTGAATCGAGCGTGTGACCCCACCAATAGATTCCTCGTTCGGAGAGCAATCCATTGGTGGGGTCACAGGTTCGGTTCGAGTCCTGTTTAGCGACTCTGGAGCACAAAACGCGTCTAGTGTTTTGTCCGCCTCCACCGGTCTTCTGGCCCACTGTGCGGCGATACCACTTCACCGCCGTAAACCGTGTCTGCGACGAGTTTGCAGTGTGGCGACGCTCCTTTCTTGAAGCCTTTTTTTTTGTGCGGTTGCCCTACATGTTGGTGGCCATCCTGATTCTCGTCACGTGGGCGCCTCGCCGGCCTAGCCTAGGCTCGTGACAGTTGGTACTCCGTCTCGGGAACTAGCCGCTCGCCCTTCTGGCGGCAAAGTTTAAATGCACAAGTTTGGCGTGGGAGGGCTACGTTGCGGCTAAACCGGGCGCAGCGCACAGCGCGGAGGATGGAGGGGGAGAGGGCGCGGCAAGAGGCAAGCAGGTGGCGAGGTGGCCACGTCTGTGTTGCAGAGGTCATAATTCTTTCCACGTCACCGGCGTGCGCGGCGCCAGTGATTCATAAGGGAATCCTTCACCCGGCCGGCCGGCCCTGCACAGTGGGCCAGAAGACCGGTGGAGGCGGCCAAAACTCTAGACGCGTTTTGAGCTCCAGAGTCGCTAAGCAGGACTCGAACCGAACAAGTGACCCCACTAATGGATTCCTCGTTCGGAGAGCAATCCATTGGTGGGGTCACACGTTCGGTTCGAGTTCCATTTAGCGACTCTGGAGCTCTAAACGCGTTTGGAGTTCCGGCCGCCTCCACCGGTCTTCTGGGCCACTGTGCGTCCTCACTCTGGTGCCGACCAGTCGTGCGTCACTTTCAGGCCAGCGATTTGCGGAAGCGCTCTTTGGACTCGCTTTCATGACGGGACGGCCTAATCGCCCTCCCTTTGATAAAAAGAAGAAGTTGTTGGCGTTGCCTACCGAGAGTGCGCGCCCATCCCCCGAGAGACAATGCGGGGCCAATATCGGGCTCACTCCGCCACGCCAAGCCCGGACATAAAAAGGATTCCAAACATCACAGAAC